GAATCTTTTGGATTCTATGGACTTTTCTAGAAATATTCCGACAGCTTCTCGAATCACCTTGTATATATTCAATTCACGAAATTCGGGGCATCGACTCAGGTCCGTGTATTTTTACACATCGGTTTTAGATTGATTGGAATCCATATGAGGAACGGAGATAGAGAGAGAACGGAGGAGTATTGAGGGCAACAGTCTATAATTGCATTTTGCATATATACGCGCAGTTTATAGGCTTCAGTGCGTTCACAAAAGATAACATGGCCGCTTTACAAAACAAAAAAGCATAAGTTGCGAAGAAATCCGCTCCTGTATTGGTTACATACAACTAAATAAATCCATATACAGCGACCAAGATATTGAAATCGTCGAAAACGAAGGCAAAATCGTATAGCCCTGCTTTTATTGGCCGACATAAATTTTGATATCGGTCAGTTCCTACTTACGACCAGAACTATTGATCTTAAAATATGTTCGTGAAAACAATACATACATTCAACATTCTCCCTGAAACGTAACAATATCCTTAGCAACCAAAACAAAAGCACTGATCGGCTGTGCCCAATGGTGCGTTTTTACCAGTTTAACGGTAGGTTGACGTTTAAACGGCGGTTGGGCTTGCGCTGGTTGTGTGGGTTTAGGTGACGACACCTGGACCGTTGTTTTACATCAGTGGGCAAGAATTAATTCTAACTCGATAAATATACAGGGTGGCGCATCGAAAACGAAACAGACGCATTTACTGGCAGCTCAGTTTTTTTTTTTGGAAAAACGCTCAGACCCGACGATTTTGTTTTAGAGGGGGACACAAGTTTGACAAAAATTCACGTTAACACGTGCAGCCCCCTGGGCGGGGGTGACACCAACCCTAAAATCTTCAATGGAAAGGGGGATCGAGTGACACATTATTTTAAAGGTCTTTCAATTCCCTTTATAATAATGTAAAATACATGAGCTTCAGCCGGTATGAAAACAAGCCAAAACTTCTCATTCGTCGGTAAACACTTCGCATGCCAATAGGTCTTCCGTGTTCTGCAAACCATTCATTTGCAATGGACCTGGTAGTGGAGAAACGGTCCCTTAAGGCCAATAATCTTAGGCGGCGATCTTCACGGTCTGTTGTTCTACGGCGGCGTCCAGTGCCCCTTGCTCTTTGCGTACGGCTTTCTCGAAGCCATGCCTGACAACACCTAACCACAGTGTCTACACTTATTTGCACTTTAACTGCAATTGCCCGAAAAGAAAGTCGAGCTTCCCGAAGTCCCACTATACGGCCCCTATCAAACATCGTACAGGTCTCCGTACTCTAGGCATCGTAACCGATCGTAAAGGATGTCAAGAACCAAAATTCTTTACTGCGGCTGAAATATTCATTTTTAGAGCGTTAGTGAATTGAAAAAAAGCAGTATAAAAACCGGAATGTCCAACTGATACGGCTGAAATTTTTTTCACTTAGTAAGATAAATACATTCATCAACTTTTATTAAAATAAAACCATTTAAACTGGGTGTTCAGATTTATATGTCACTTAGTATAGTTAACAGAGTCTCTCCAACCTCCCATTTCCTCTTATTTGAAGAAATTCTTCTTCCATTCCGTCTTCTTTACTTTCTTTGTTGGATGCTTGACAGACCTATCGATTTACAAGACTTAAACCGATGTCAAATCTCTTCTGAAGCGCAAAGGGAATACTCAGTACAAGAATAAGAGTGGAAGTTCCACAGGGTACTGTTCCGGGGCCACTATTTTGCGTGATTTATACAAATGACATATTCCGAAATTTAGATAGATGTCGACACATTAAAAAATTGGTTGTATTGAATTTTTAGCATTTTCAACTCTTCGCGACAGTGTGCTGATGAAAACTGTTTAGCACGAGGGAAATTCTGTAACCACCCTTCTAAAGGGATGCAGTGGAGTGTGCATATCTATCTGGCAAACGCGTACATTTCCTCCCTTGTCTCATATTAACTGCCACCCCAGTCTAATAGCCCAACATTATTTTCGGGCTTGTCCCTCTCAGTCGCCATTAGGCCCTCCTTTTAAAACGAGCGTTTTGAACAGGGAGGTAAATTATGAGCCGTGAATATGAATTTGAATTTTAGGTACGCAAAAAATATTGTTAAGTGAAAAATGAATTTCAAAATGTTTGACGCCCTAAAATTTTATTGAATACTCTCAAAAGCTTGAGATTTTTATAAAACCTTGACCTTGCCAAGAAGCTGTCCACTATCCCCAAAAATCATCAGTAAACTCGGAAGAGTGACTTGAATTTTAAAAACCACAAGCCTTTTCGTCTTTGGTATCGTACACAAAATTCCATCAAAATAAAGTTATAACGGAGACAGTATTCATAAAAAACAATGTCACGATTTCAAACATTTGTTTAGTTTTTGGTTTAGTATTAGTCAAAATTCCATCAAAATCTGCATTGTACTTTTTGAGTTATAAAGGAGACAGTATCCAAAAAATAATATCACGATTTAATTTTTTTTTGTTACTATATTATTTTTTTTCTTCTCTTTTTTTGTGGAAGTGTTTAATTGTTCAAACACCTTTATGTGTTTATTCAGATCACTGAAGTTTTTCTTTTTTCTTTTTTCTTTTGTTATTATTTTCTGATTAATTGAAGTTGAGTCATTAATTTTCAGATAATGATTGTAGAAGGAAGATAAACCAAAATATGTGTGTAAAAATAAAAAAAAAATTTACCTTGTTTTATAAAGTATCCTCCCGACAAGTATTTCAGTGCGGACCTGTATTTGATCGTGAGGTCTTGGAGCACCGGCATGCCGTCCCCTGTGAGGTCTTAAGTCACCTGATTCACGAGCTCGTTGTACATTAACAAAGGCACGAGGGGTTGGTTGCACTCGATTGGGAAACCGATCCGCATAAACATGTGCCATTTTTTATTTCGTTTGAGCCACGCAACAGACACCACTATTCACTCACGCGTTACCGACTGACACTGACTGTATACAACTGAATAAAATAATTGTAAAAACATCGTTCCAAATTCTTTCGCTTTTTTGTTTCCGATGCGATGAACCGATAAGGCGGATTATATCCGTTGTTGCCAAACACGAGCACATAATATTATTATTGAGACAGGGCGGTACTCAAACTTCCAAAGGGCTATAACTTTGTTACTTTAATTTTACCAGAAAAATGGTAAAGGAAAAAAACATTTCTTTTGATCTGTTAAAATAAATGACTCAACTTCGAAGTCACCCTGTATATATATGTGTGTATATATATGTGTATATATGGTACCATTTTGTTTTGATTTCACTAATTTCCTGTGATTGGGTGTATACCTGTTGGAAATAAATGTATTATTATTGTATTATTATTATTAAACATATTTTTAGTTATACATTTTTATTACAATATTAGTCAAAATTTCATCAAAATCTGAAATGTACTTTTTGAGTTATGAAGGAGACATTGTCAAAAAAACAATACCACGATTTCAGTTAGTATAGCAATAGTCAAAATTACATCAAAATCTGACCTTTAGTTCTTTATTGATAAAGTAGGCAGTATCCAAAAAACAACATTACGATTTCAAACATTTTCTTGATTATACATTTCTCATTCACATTTATACTCCCGCACATATCATGTTCAAAATACCGCCCAGACCATGTAGACTTTGCTCAGATTGTTGACCGCTATTTCGGTTTCTAAATCATAATTATAAATCCATGATTCATCTACCACTGCTACCGTTTGTTTTGAAAATGTTCCAATATTAAACTGCACTACTTTGCTCGACTTTTATATTTCACTTTATCGTTTGACAGTATTTTAAGACATATTGCATAATACAGCGTCACCCCTGTTTATTGTTTGAACGTGTCAACAGCAGGTCGAAAATATACTTTAAACGGAATGAAGGCCATGTACTGACATCATATTGAAGCTCTTATAAGTCTGGAATATTTCATGCCATTTTGGAAGATCCCATTTAAACACCCTCCTTTTTACTTTCGACGTGGAAGCCTAAACAGTACGGGCGTAGGAAATAGTTGGGGACGCAACAATCTTGTTCCAGGTCACCGAAGACTTGATCTGGCACGAACACATCTCCCTCGATACAAGACAGAGTCAATCTACTTGACGCCCTTCTTATATTTTTCGCCTCTAGTATATAGTGTCGCACCGACCATAGAAATAAGAAACTGGTCTATTGTGTCTTATGCGAAATTTTTATATTACTACCTTTGATTCGAAAAACCGAATCCAACGATCGACCGTTAAAAATATGAAGGATAAAGACGCGGCCGTGATCCTTGAAAAATTCTTCAGCTGGAGCTAGTTTCCTTAAAAGGCTTTGGACAAGAAAGCGCGGCAAACGTGTGAGCTGGTAAATGTTCTACGGACGATGATCTGTCTGTTTGTTAGTCGACTTTTCCTTTTTCCTTGTCTGTGAAGGTTGTTGTGTCTGGGTTGGGTGTCACGGAACTTTACACTTTTTACGATTTTTCATCAAGCGCTCGATATGAATCATAATTATGCGAAGTATAGATATACAAAGAAACTCATTTGTTTGGTTGATCATTAAACCAATGATTGGGTAGTTTTACCTGTAATATTTTATATATACACGGTGTCCTGAAAATTGGAACTCTCCTTGGACACGCGCACAGCTTTCTGTACCGAAAATAGTGGTGTCTTCAAGGAAATTTAGCAACATATTGGCAACGCTGCAGATTGCCGCGTCAGCGTTGCTAGGCAACGCACTGATGAGCTTCTGTCTCTTTCTAACATATGTGTTCACACACTTCTCTCTCACAAATTTGGTTTTCGGCGTATATTCGTCGCTCATTTGAAGGTCGGTTTATCTGATATTTTTTCGATGTCGGATACAAATAAATCATTCTGAAAATATTCGATTCAAACGGCGAAATGTAGGCTGATCTGAGCTTGACCCACATGCAAAACGTGTAAAAAGATTATAGTAACGAAATTAGACGAAGATGTACACATTGTATTTTTAGATATTCACAACGTGTGCGGCCAGATGTCGGTGTTTGTCTTTTCTGGAAAGTGGAAATTGTAACGGAATTACGCAACGCGTAGGACGTTTTACAATACGTCGTGTGCTATTAATTGAAGTTATTAGCAGCAAAAAAATGGCGTCATGCTACCAACATTGCTGTGTTAGTGTGTTTAATTTTTTTTGTTTTTTTACTCTGTAGCCAAACATTTGATCTGGGATGATTCTTTATAAAATTTTGGAAATAAATAATGATTCACATAATCGCTTTTTGTTTTAAAACTAGTGCCTGTTGGTATATAATAGTTTCTGCCTAAAATAGCATGTTTTGATGACGCTGTTAACACGCGTGTGAAAACGTAAGTCTTCGACTAGAGTAGACCCAAACTTTTGCTGGCATTCGCATTTGATTTTTGAGGATCGAGTTCCATATTAGGTATTAATAACAGAATAGTTATTATACTAAGTGACATATAAATCCGAACACCCAGTTTAAATGGTTTTATTTTAATAAAAGTTGGTGAATGTATCCATTTATTACGATTTATTACGATTTATTACGATTTATTACGATTTATTACGATTTATTAAGATTTATTACGATTTATTACGATTTATTACGATTTATTACGATTTATTACGATTTATTACGATTTATTACGATTTATTACGATTTATCACGATTTATTACGATTTATTACGATTTACTACGATTTATTACGATTTATTACGATTTATTACGATTTATTACGATTTATTACATTTATTACGATTTATTACGATTTATTACGATTTATTACGTTTTATTACGATTTATTACAATTTATTACGATTTATTACGATTTATTACGATTTATCACGATTTATGACGATTTATTACGATTTATCACGATTTATTACGATTTATTACGATTTATCACGATTTATTACGATTTATTACGATTTATTAGGATTTATTACGATTCATACGATTTATTACGATTTATTACGATTTATTACGATTTATTACGATTTATTACGATTTATTACGATTTATTACGATTTATTACGATTTATTAAGATTTATTACGATTTATGGTGGGACTTCGGGAAGCTGGACTTTCTTTTCGGGCAATTGCAGTTAGAGTGCAAAGAAGTGTAGACACTGTGGTTAGGTGTTGTCAGGCATGGCTTCGAGAAGGCCGTACGCAAAGTGCAAGGGGCACTGGATGCCGCCATAGAACAACAGACCGTGAAGATCGCCGCCTAAGATTATTGGCCTTAAGGGACCGTTTCTCCACTACCAGGTCCATTGCACACTGGGTCCTCCCTTTAACTTGAGAACACCGACGTAATCACCTTGAGTGGTGCAGACAACGGTCACTCTGGGATCAGGAATGGAACAGTATTGTCTTTAGTGACGAGTCGTGCCAGGGTTAGAAGGCGACGTGGTGAATGGAGGAATCCAATGCGCAGCGTTATATCCACGAAGTTCTAGAACCCCATCTTTTACCCTATCTTGACACCCTGGTAGATCCAACTTTATAACAAGATAATGCCCGACCACATGTTGCAAGAGTCACAATAGACTTCTTTCAACATAATGATGTCACATTGTTACCATGGCCACCAAGATCTCCCAACTTATCCCCAATTGAGCACGTGTGGGATATGATGGATAGGAGATTGCTCAATTTGCAACGTCCTCCTCAGACTCTAGAAGCACTTCGAGAGGAGTTGGTGGTTGCCTGGAATGAGATACCACAGGAGGACATTGACCACCTGATCAGAAGCATGCCTAGGCGCGTTGGAGAATGCGTAGCAGATCAGGATGCATCCACACATTATTAAAGGTCAAAGGGCTTTAAAGCAGTGCAATCATTTTGAAATTTTTATCATTTACTTATTATGCTTCATTAAGTAGTTATACAAAATTTCATTAAAATAAAACCATTTAAAATGGGTGTTCGGATTTATATGTCACTTAATATATTAAGAACAAGAGGGGCCCTAGAACTGAACCCTGTGCTACCCCGGAAGGAATATTTGAAATACTTGTTCAACAGGTGCATAGAATCCCTAGGAGCAGTAGCTTTTTAATAATAGGTCTTTCAGAGAACCATCATACACGGAGTAATACAAATTAAAGGTTATACAGTACAAATTGATGGAAATCAAAAAATTACAAATTAATTTTTTGCTCTTTTTTTTAAATCGTGTTTTTTCAACACTGAATAGTCGCAAAAGATTTCTACCTCGAAATAAAAATCGACGAGTCCAAGCTATATTTTTCCAGTGCTCTTATCAGCCGAAAAATGTATCCACACAGAAACGATTAATTTGTAACCAATACGATAGTTTGTAAAATCTAGCTGCAAAAAATGCGAATAACTGAGAAACATGTAAGACCCACTAGCTCGACCAATCAGAGGATTTATTTCTGCTCACTTCTCTCGAAAAACAAAAAAAAAAACACGTTGTAACGCTCTTATCAGTAAACAGAAATAGCCCCACAAAAAAAGCCTGACGCTGATTGGTCAACCAATACGATTATCGCTTGCTGGATAATCTACGGACGCGCTGCTAGGTGTATGGCTTGTAGGCGGGTCTTTTCGTTTTTTACGACTCGCAGGATATTATTGGTTATTTATATCCTATTAAGTAAAACGTTGGGATGGGTTTTTCAAAATACGCTGACAGTGGAGATTTTGGTACTTGTCGCGACAGTCGATTATCAATTAGTATGTGTACAAATGCTGACGTCGTTATGCATCATACGTGCGACATCACCGCGTCGCCTAGCAACGGTGACGCAGAAAGTCGTGCAATCTGCGGCGTTGCCAATTGATATCGGATTTTTTCTTGCTTATATCGTATTCCAATATGTTTTTTAACTTCATAAATGCAGGTTCAATGGGTGGCCTTGAAGAAGGTACGTTCGACAGAAAACCAAGTAACGGGGAAAAACCACATAGTTATTTTTTCAACACAGTACTGAATCACTAAAAAAGAAAGGTATAACACGTGTGAAATTATACAATCAATAAACTATGAAATTTACCAAAAGAAAATCATTGAAAAGGGTTTGGCCTAGGAATGGGCACTCTACCGTTAATAAAGAGAATTTCATTACTAGTAAGTGATGAAAATAGTAAAAAAACGTTACGTGATTTTGGCAAGTGACAAGATGAAACAAAAACAAACTTTCATTCAGTTTCTGTTACAGCGTAATTTTGAGTTTACTTGAATGTTTACGAACTTGCTCCACAGTGTAGTCCACTGAGTCACGCAATTGAAGGTCGCCGCTTGACATAATCCTTCAAGGTCGCTGAACCTGCGGTGTGAACGCGCACTGAACTTGACAGAACCGTCTACGAAACTGTCGTCGCTCTTCCGTCATAATCTGACACTTCTCCCATTTCATCCCTCATCAAAATTCCAGTCACCAACCCGTAGCCTAAAATGCCGGGCCACGTTTTGACTATGTTCCTGTTCCGTTCCAGAATAATCTAAGATGCCCTCTCTGCTGGAAGCCCTGGAACAGAAGTACGGCGAGTTACCGACGGATTCGGACGGCTCGGAAGACGAAGGTATCTCGGTGTCGATCTTCGTCCCCTGCAAACCACCAAGAGCCGTGGTACCTGCTCTTCTGGTGCTGAACGATTGCGATATCGCCACTGCTGGAGAAAAGGAGGCATTGGTGCAGAAATGCGCGGGAGTCGAAGAGCTGGACCTCGCTAAGAACAAGCTGAATGATTGGCCTGAGGTAGGTTCCTTTATACAAAAATACACAGGACTTTCCGTTAAAAAATGTTTGGTCTGGTTCCATTTTGAGCTACCCTGTATATCAGAAAATATTTTTTTATCTATAATTTAACTTTTTTTCAGTTCCTTATAATAAGGAATCTGTGGTACTGCGAGTTTAGGAGTCTTCAAACTCTTAAATTCCCTTTGTAGAAGTGCGAAATATTCAATTTTTGAAAACATATGAAAAAACAAAAATTTTGATATTAGCAAACTTTCCAAATATTTTTCAAACATGCATTAACAAAATTTCAAAAACGTTTTCTGGGTCTTTCCGAAGAAAAAAGATTCTTATGCACTTTCCTCTAAAGTTGATAGTTTTCGGGATTTAATATTTGTAGAAGTGAGAAATATTCCATTTTTGAAAACATGAAAAAACAAAAAGATGAATGTGTTACCAAAGTTTCTAAATATTTTTGGAGAAGTGCGAAATATTCCATTTTTGAAAACATATGAAAAAACAAACATTTTGATATTAGCAAACTTTCCAAATATTTTTCAAACATGCATTAACAAAATTTCAAAAACGTTTTCTGGATCTTTCCGAAGAAAAAAGATTCTCATGCACTTTCCTCTAAAGTTGATAGTTTTCGGGATTTAATATTTGTAGAAGTGAGAAATATTCCATTTTTGAAAACATGAAATAACAAAAAGATGAGTGTTACCAAAGTTTCCAAATATTTTTGGAGAAGTGCGAAATATTCCATTTTTGAAAACATGAAAAAACAAAAATTTTGATATTAGCAAACTTTCCAAATATTTTTCAAACATGCATTAACAAAATTTCAAAAACGTTTTCTGGGTCTTTCTGAAGAAAAAATATTCTTATGCACTTTCCTCTAAAGTTGATAGTTTTCGGAATTTAATATTTGTAAAAGTGAGAAATGTTCCATTTTTGAAAACATGAAAAAACAAAAAGATGAATGTGTTACCAAAGTTTCCAAATATTTTTGGAGAAGTGCGAAATATTCCATTTTTGAAAACATATGAAAAAACAAACATTTTGATATTAGCAAATTTTCCAAATATTTTTCAAACATGCATTAACAAAATTTCAAAAACGTTTTCTGGGTCTTTCTGAAGAAAAAATATTCTTATGCACTTTCCTCTAAAGTTGATAGTTTTCGGGATTTAATATTTGTAGAAGTGAGAAATATTCCATTTTTGAAAACATGAAAAAACAAAAAGATGAATGTGTTACCAAAGTTTCCAAATATTTTTGGAGAAGTGCGAAATATTCCATTTTTGAAAACATAGGAAAAAACAAAAATGTTGATTTTAGCAAACTTTCCAAATATTT